ACATGATCAAGACACCCCTTCATTTTCTGAGAGGGTGGTCTCTCTGGCTGAGTCTGCGGAAGCTTGGAGGGAAGAACTCCAGCAGCCTTTGTAACTCTCTAGCCTCAATTACTAAGAGAGCAATGTTCCTCTGTCCCCCCATCCCCCCACTTAGGGTTTCCAAAGACATTCTTCTTTGAGGAGAGAACTAAAGTCAATGTGGATAACAGAGCGATCATACGTCTTGGTTTGTGTCTGATGTCCTGAGGTAAATCTTAATCGCTCTCCATTTCACTCTCACAAGTATCCTCTTTCAGCTGTTAGATGATATTGTTGTCCTATATGAAGATTTTGTACACTGTCAAAGCGCTAAGCTGGAACTATCGTCCCAGAATTCCCTTATATGTATGTTTTCAGGTAACAGTTGGAGACAAGACATTTTTGCAAGTTTTGGAAGGCACAAATGTGGCAATAATGAAGCCATTATTTATTGTCTGAAGTTGGTGTAGGGCAGGTGCTTTTGCAGCTCACACTCATGATCCCAAAGAGTCTAGCTGCCCTTGTTGTGTGGCAACAGCCGCCACATCTCCAGCTCGCACTGGGCTGGTTCCTTCGGCATCTCCAAATCCTGGCCAGGTGCACGTGCAGTTCCGTGGGGGAAAGGCATCAATTTATCCTGCAGCTCATCCGCATAATTGTAATTTGTGGTGGTGAGAGACAAACAAGTCTTCCAGTTTGTTCTTGTCAGTTTCAGTTTGTCCCAATTCCCTCCCATTCTATTCATCTTCCCTTCCCAGTTTCCACCGTGACTACTTTCCACTCAACACCAGATGCATTGCAACAGCCTTACATAGATTAATCAGCTACCATGATTCATAAACAGTATAATAAACCCTTATTCTATGTAATTCACAGTAGCTTTCAGCTATTGTGTCAAACATTGACAGATATACATAGTATTGTTTGAATATTATTTGGATGTTATACTAAGTAAGAAATGTGGTGTAGGTGAAATATCTTTCCCAGTCTGTTTATTTGGTGCCCTAAAATTTGTCTCATTTGATAAAAAGAATCAAAGTCAAAAATTTTGCAGAATACAAAGCAAGATGTTATCCCTATTTCAGGGGTAAGAAAATGTAAGTTCCTAGACATGTTAGTTTGTGGGTTCATAGAGCTGAACAATGAACCCAAATCATCTAAATGATGCACAAATAAAAGCCAATTCTGCATGTCCCCCACTAGTAGCAAATATATGCATAAATCAGACAGAATTCGGAAAATAGGGATTTGTAAATGTTGCCCAGAAGAGAATTGTTCTTCTTAATCCAGTACAGTATGTGCTTATGAAAACAGATTTTCACTTTTCTGTGAACAACCTTTTCATGGCTTCACAGCATTTACCTACTTTTCTAAACTTCCAGAGAGTAACTGACAGCTGCCCTGACTTTCTGACCTTCAAGATCATTTCCAGCTTATTTCTTTTTTTTTTTTTTTTTTTTTTTTTTTTTGAGACGGAGTCTCGCTCTGTCGCCCAGGCTGGAGTGCAGTGGCCGGATCTCAGCTCACTGCAAGCTCCGCCTCCCGGGTTTACGCCATTCTCCTGCCTCAGCCTCCCGAGTAGCTGGGACTACAGGCGCCCGCCACCTCGCCCGGCTAGTTTTTTGTATTTTTAGTAGAGACGGGGTTTCACCATGTTAGCCAGGATGGTCTCGATCTCCTGACCTTGTGATCCGCCCGTCTCGGCCTCCCAAAGTGCTGGGATTACAGGCTTGAGCCACCGCGCCCGGCCTCTCCAGCTTATTTCTTTTCCCACTAGCCTTGTTTTGTAAATACTAACAATTACATATTCCAAAGATTATCAGATAGTACAAAAGATTCATCATGATAATACTAATCCCTAGCAAAAGTTTGAATTGTGTCTATCAAAATTAACATTAAATATGATAGTATAATTTACGTTTTGAAGCTGTTGTTGAAACCATAATTTATATAGTTCTTTCATTTTTATAATACACATATTTCAAGAATTGCATATAAATCAAATATTTGTAAAGTTAGCAATGTACAAATGTACTACAGAAATTATCATTGAAACGAATTTGTTCTTATTTTATAAAATGCACAACTACCTATAATTAGATTTTTAGATTAGATTACTTAAATATAAGGCATATTTATAGTTCACAGTAGAGCTTCCATTGGAGCGCTGCAATTAAATTCTATGGGCAATGCCTATGTTACTAGCATTTCATCTGATAGGGAAATACTTCAGTCAATGCAAGCTCAAGGGAAATGAAATTTTGTAGAGTAAGGTAACCAAGTGTCTTTTACTTAAAACTCTAGGTCATACTTTACATTATAGACATTTCAACCGTGTATATTTTAAGAGCCTCTATTACACAGTAAACTATATATTGCCTATTTACGTTAAGCCTGCAGACATGCAGAGTGCAAGAGGAATGCCCCAATGAGGAATTTGTGTGGTTGGATCCTCCAAACACACATTTCCCTTCTGCACTGTCCTAGTAGAGGTTCTCTGTTCCGGCTCTGACACTGCAACAAGCGTCTGCCTGGGCACCCAGGCTTTCCCATACATTCTCTGAAATCTAGATGGAGGCTGCCAAGCCTCTTTAACTCTTGCACTCTGCATGGCTGCAGGCTTAACATCACATGAAAGCCACAAAGGCTTATGGCTTGTGCCCTCTGGAGCGGGAGCCTGATCTGCCTTTTAAGCCACAGCTGGACCCAGAGCATCCAGAATACAGGCAGCACTCTTCTGAGGCTGGCCAGGGTAGTGGGGCCCTAAGCCTGACCCAGGAAACCCTTCTTACCTCCTAGACCTCTGGGCCTATGGTGGGAAAGCCTGCTGCAAAGGTCTCTGAAATGCTTTCAAGGCCCTTTTCCCATCTTCTTGGCTATCAGCACGTGGCTTCTTTTTAGTTATGCACATTTCTCTAGCAAGTGGTTTCTCCACAGCCTGCTTGAATTCCTCTCAAAAAACGCTGTTTCTTTCTTTGTCACATGACTAGGCTGCAAATTTTCCAAATTTTTATAGTCTACATCCCCTTTAAAGATAAGTTCCACTTTAAGTCATTTTTTTTTGTTCTCACATCTTTGAATAGGTTGTTAGTTAGAGGCAGCCAGACTACATCTTAAATGTTTTGCTGCTTAGATATTTGTTCCAGCAGATACACTAGGTCATTACTCTCAGGTCCATACTTCTACAGATCCCTAGGGCATGAACAGAATGCAGCCAAGATCTTTGCTAAGGCATAACGTGCATCACCTTTGATCCAGTCTCCAGTACATTCCTTATTTTCATCTGAGACCTCGTCAGCGTGTACTTCATTGTTCATATCACTATCAGCATTTTGATCTCAACCATTTAACCAGTCACTAAGAAGTTTCAATCTTTCCTTCCTCTTCCTATCTTCTGAGCAATCCAAACTCTTTGAACCTCTGCCCATTACCCAGTTCCAAAGTTTCTCCACATTTTCTGGTATCTTTATAGCAATACCCCACTACTGTTGCCAATTTTCTGTATTAAGCTGTTCTTGCATTGCTATAAAGAAATACTTAAGACTGGGTAATTTATAAACAAAAGAGGTTTAATTGGCTCACAGTTATGCAGGCTTTACAGGAAGAATGATGTTGGTGTCTTGGATTCTGGGAGGACTTCAGGAAGCTTGCAATAATAGTAGAAGGAGAAGAGGGAGGAGCAGGCATATCATATGGTCAGAGAAGAAGCAAGAGGCAGAGAGTGGAAGGGGAAGGTGCCACACACTTAAATAACCAGATCTCATGAGAACTCACTATTGTGAGGACAGCACCAAGGGGACAGCACCAAACCATTCACTAAAAAATTCATCCCCATGATCCAGTCACCTCCTGCCAGGCCCATGTCCAACACTGGGGATTATAATTCATCATGAGATTTGAGGGGACACATATCCAAACTACAACACACCTTTATGCCAATAAACCCAAATAAAAGAGTTCTATATTTTCATGATTTTATATTGTATTTCTTCTTGACATCTCTGGCATAGCCATTTCCTGACACAAAGAGTAAACATTTGATAAATAATTGTTGAATGAGTAAAATTCCATAATGAGAAATAGGAGAACCCTGACTATATAGAATACAATTAATGGTATTTATATAGTTTTTATAGTATTATAGTATTAATAGTTTATATAGTGTCTGGGTCCTACACATTCTCCTCCTGTTGGAGAAAGAAAAAAGGGGAGGGGAGAGTACATATGAGAGAACACATTAAAAGATTAATGAAATGTTTCTGCTTATGGTAAAAAAAGTAATAAGAATAAATTAACTCATCAATAGTCATTTAACATTTACTGAGCACTTGGCTGATTCCTTTCCTTAAGGAGCTCACAGTCAATAGAGGGTGTCATATGTGAAAATAGATAAATACAGTTTAAAATATGTAAAATATCACTGAGCAAAAAATGAACAATTACATGTAATTTTGTGAAAAACTCTCTTTATTTTCAGGAACTTGAAATAGGATGGCTTGCTGGGAGAAGCAAAGAGTTTGTCTGGCAAGTACACTTAGGACCAGATGACAGCGGGGCTTAAAAATGCTTTAAAATATTTTCCATTTGTCCAAAAGTTTTTTGATTGGTTTGGTTTTATATTGCCAAGTGTAAAACCTACAAATTATTCCTTATTAATGCTTGATAAAGTACCAGTTCCAAATGAAATCTTCACCCAAGCTTTTTAACTATTATCTTTATGAACTGCAACATTCAGCCTTTGTTCAGCTCTTACAAATAAGGATATCAATTTCATTGGAAATCAGTAAGTACCCCAGACACAGAAAGAGAACAGGAGGAAAAGGAGAAGAATGAAACAGATTTCAGTGATCCTTAAGCACATTTGTGAGGTGCTTTCTTTCTCACACTAAGATGAAAGAGAAACCAAACAAGAACTGGAGGGGACACTGTTTCTTTCCATTTGAATTAATTTTAATTTTAAAGCCAAATTTCATGGATCTTACCTGAAAAGTTTTTGTAATCCACTAAATCAAACATAACCACGGCAACTGCTGACCACGTGATTATCAGGGCAATGACCAGAAGCCAGGCTGCAGGAGAGCTGAACGTGGTCACTATGTCTTCTGTGACTGTCCTCTTCAGTACTTTTCCAGGGGATTTGGGCACAGATCCATTTTTGCTGTCTATCACAGTTGTGGTTGTAGATGCATTTCCTAATCAAACATTCAGAAAGGAAAATATAATTTAGAAATTCACGTTAAATATTGATGAAAAGAAGCACTGACTATATGAGTGTTGAACCTGTTCATACCACTTTCTAGAACAGACACAACTCCTTAGTGGCAGGACAAAGCCTTCCTGCCCACTAGCGCATTATTTTCTCCTCAGCATTTCCTGTTCACCCTAAAACTCCTGTGCTCATACAATCAGCATTTCTCATCTCCCAAGTCCTCTGAGGGAGAATCAACACAAGTGATAAAACGGTTCAACTGGATAAAACTTCTTCCGAATATCTTTTATTTTATTTTTTTGAGACAGAGTCTCACTCTGTCGCCCAGGCTGGCGTGCAGTGGCTAGATCTCAGCTCACTGCAAGCTCCGCCTCCCAGGTTTACGCCATTCTCCTGCCTCAGCCTCCCGAGTAGCTGGGACTACAGGCGCCCGCCACCACGCCCAGCTAGTTTTTGTATTTTTTAGTAGAGACGGGGTTTCACCGGGTTAGCCAGGATGGTCTTGATCTCCTGACCTTGTGATCCGCCCGTCTTGGCCTCCCAAAGTGCTGGGATTACAGGCTTGAGCCATCGCGCCTGGCCTCGAATATTTTAACTTAATTGCATAATTGACCCATCTAGTGAGGTCATCTAATGAGGTCATTCATGTTTGTGTGTTTGTTTCTTTGTTTGTTTGTAGGGGCACAGAAGATCTAAGAGAATGATCTTAGAAAATCTTACTATATCCAGTAACTCTTATATTCCTGATTTTAAGAGTCCACATGTTCATGAGAGAAAATTCAAAAAATATAAAAATAAAATAAATAGATAAGTAGATAGACAGTTTTAATCTCACCACCCGGAAATAACCACTGTTAATATTTTGCACCTATATTTCTGTACATACATATAATATATAAATATGATTTATCTGGTTTTGACAAGTCATTAGCACATTGTCTTTTACTTTTATACTAGGCAATATATCAGAACTGTGTTTTATTGCCATTATGTATTTCTCAAAATACCATTTAAGTGGCTTCATGACATGTAATTTTATGGCTGTGCATAATTTAATCAAAAAGCTTTCTTCTGTGGGACAGGGCAGAAATTTTCTCAGCACATATTGTTATTTATTTCTTAAGGACAAAGTCCTAAATATAGAATTCCAGGGACAAATAACATAATCGCTTTTATAGCTTTGAGAATACACGCACATATTTGAATGCTAGTATCTTTTGAAAATAGTGTATGCCAGTAGTTGTATTACCTTATCCTTGACAATACTATTAGTGATGTTCAAAATTTTTGCAATGACATAAGAGAAGATTTGGGTTTTATTTGCAACTATTCAATTAGTAGGAATGAGCTATTTATATATTTATTTTTCCTTGGTATTTCTTTTCTTGTGGGTTTTTCCTCCATTTTTCTGTAAACCTCCTTTTAGTGGTTTATAAAATTGCATACGTACACATATACATAAGATAGTAACACTTTAATATTTATGTGGCTTTTTTTTGATGACTCTTTACCTTTTATTTTAATGCTATTTTTATATACAGAACATACATCTAATAATGTTGTAGCTCATTCTTCTTCTATAAAATTGATACTACCTTATGGCTAGAAAGCCTCCTGGATGGAGACAAGACATGTCTGATTATCTTGGCCACTCTTGACTCACAGAAAGTTAAATCTAGAAGTAACTTAGAGATCATCTGAAACAACTATTTCATGTTACATTTAAGAACAATTGAAGACCTAGCAGAAAATTAAAGTGATGTTCATAGCACTTAAAATCCCAAATTACACAGATGTGAAGTAAGTAATTGAATATTTAAGGGAAAACAAAATTCTACCAATCCAAATATTTTTGCCAAAAGCACAGTTAAAAAACATATTTTGGGGGGGATTAAAATGTAGACCACATTATCTATAATAATTTAAGAATTACATGCCAAGAAAGAAAACTTTGATTCAATATAAAATACATGATTACATTTTTTCAATTTTACTATTTATCTCAAAATTGCAACATTTCTGTGTGATGGATACATAAGAAAATCTAAATTTTCAAATTTCTTTAACATTTTTCATAAAGTAAATTTTACCCAACTGGAAAGAGTTGCTGTAGTTTCTCTTAGAATGTGTCCAATAATAATTGGAAGATTTTAGCCTTTGTGCTCTTTGAAGTCAGGGTGGAATTAAAGTGCTTCTTTCTATCAGTCTCTTGCTCTACCATCAAAACTCTTCCTTTCAGGTATGTCTAGCTTTTTCATGGAAACAGTCAAGCAAAAAAGTTATGCTTTGGGCATTATAGATAAGAGATTGGAATTAACTCCTGGCTTCTCTCTGCATTACCCACGTGGTTAGAAGGTCACTCTACACTACATCTCTGAGTGAGAAGCATCTATATCTGATGAGTGAGATTGGTAAGACTAAATTTGCAGGTGTATGATGGTGGAGAAATAACTCACGCAAACTGTTTGACACATTTCCTGGTACATGGTAGTCATTTAATAAGTGACAATGCAACAACTACTGAACTACATCATAATCATTATTATCATCACCACTATATTCATTTATTACATCATCACCTTCATTGCTATCAGCACAACTGTGACTCTTAATACAACTACAAATGTCACTCTAAGAAATGGCCCGAAAGGCAGGATTAACCTCAGAAACAAAGGTGGAAGCACCAGCTCTTCAATAGATGCAGGCATTTGTTTCCATTTAATAAGCACATATATTAGGCTAAGATATTTTCAGGGAATCAAAAAAGAATTCTCTGACTTCCTTGGCATCCTGTCCATTCAATTGATTTATTTCTTGTAATACAGGCAAAGAGGAACATAGAGTATAATTTATCCATATAAGTAGAAGCTGTTTTTCCCTATTAGCAAAATTAAGAAAGATGATCTATAGCAAATAGAGTTATTTCATTACGGTGCAAACATTATCACTATAACTGAATTCGTTAAATTAGAAAAATAATATGTGAACCTTTCAAACAGATATGTACACAGGATGCTTGTAATATAAATCCAGTTTATAAGATAATTTTTAAGTATTGGAGAAAGAAATAACACTGCCAGCAAAATTAAGTACTTTACTCTTCTGGTTTCTTTAGTCATAAAATAATATTATCCTTCTCTTTACAAAAATGAGATAAATAACATGAAATTCTATGACTAATCAGGAAAGAAAATCAAATGCATTCAAGAGTACATACTAATAGGTAGTAGTAACCAAACAAAATTAGTTTTTAAATTATTTTTTAGATAACAGTGATAAATTTAGCCCCATATTTTCAAAAAATTCAAAAGCTGATAAGGAACATCAGGAGCAAAATAATTTAATTAAGATGTTTAAATTACTTTAGGTAGGAATTAACAATAGCAACAACAAATCTCTTTTCTGAAAAAAAAACTGTGGAATACATATTCAAGGTTCATGAACTCAATTTAGTGAAAATGATAGCAAGATGAAAAAATACCTCTAAAACTCAGATTTTACAAACTGCACTTGAGGTGGTGCTCAAGAAGGAAAAATGTAAAAGGAGTCATATAATATCTCCTCATTGATTATTTTGCCAAATTCACATCACTCCTAATGGTAGTTCTGAAAATGGATGAATGATAGGAGTGCTTTGAAATGCAATTGAAGACCCAAGTGGGGCTACAAGTGAATCAAACCTTTGGAATAATGATTTGCAGCAAAGTAAACAAATTATGAGTGTTTAGGACTGGCCCACCTGAAAGTTGATATGTTGTAATCTGCAGTGTTTTAACCACTGGAAGCCTTCCTACTAGCACTAAGCAGAGAACACAAGAATTGCTTTTGCACTTCAGATTCACTTTATTGAGTTGTATATTAGAGTCTATTTCTGTAAACAGTATCACACACACCTGCTTTGTATACTGAAACTCAAGGAGTAATTTTACTGAGATTTGATACAAATTAGTTGAATCCTGGTCACATTTTAAAAAGGCAAAACCTTTAAAACAGAACATGAATTTATATTTATATATATATACACACACACACACACACACACACACACACACACATTTTCCTTTCTTTGATCAAAAAATTGAGAAAATATATTCAGAAATGCAAGCTCTGAGTTGAAAATGAATTTTATGTTTTTTAAACAACTGACATAATATGGATTCTAAATTTTTATTCACTTAATGATCCTTCCAATCCAATTATGGTACAACTATTAAATAGGTGAAAATGATAAATTAATACTAAGTTATGTTTTTCATTGTCCTTTTTTAAATCTTCACACCCTCAAAATTTCCACTTAAGAATTAATCATGACTCAAAGGTAATGAAAATATGTTCTGAATATACAACCACAAAGCTATAAGCAATTTGAAAGTAATCTGAAGGTCATCCTTCTTAAAGAAAATTATGTGTTGCCCTTGTTATGAAACACATTAAGTTGTACCTTTCAATTTCCATTCAAATTTACTGCAAAAGCCACACAGAGCCAAGAGGAATAAAATTGAGAGGGAATAAATTGCCTTCTCTGACAGCTGGTCAAGATAAATGCAAAGAACAGAGTGTGTAATCTGAGATTATTTAATGTTTGAGAAGCACTTTAAAGATGACAAGAGCTAGTTATTGATATGGCAGGAAAAATGAGAGGTAAATATTACTGAGCAATTTGACATGCGCTATGCTTCTTGAAAGTTGGTATCTCAGAATTGGAGCAGAGCAGCTAGGATATGTGAAGCACTTTCCAGGCCTACTTTTTAATTCTATTCATTTTGATCTCATACAAACTTTTGATTGTCAGGCAGAATCAGCCTCAAAAGAAGTAGGGATCTCACTTAATGGCCATGTGACTCTTTCCTATAGTGTAAAAGGAGGGGTTCCTTATATAATGGATCCAAAGACTGGCTCCAGAGTCAGGTTATACAAAGAAGAATAAGCCATAAGCATCCTGATAGAAGTCACTTAACCGCATGATGCCTTATCGATCAGATG